TCTTTAATAGTCGGGGGGGGGGGCATCTTAGCGTTGGAATCGACAATACATGAATTTGGCTAAGAACAATAGGTATATACCAAGGGTTTGTCGCATACGGTTTAAGTTCCGCGTTTGAGGAAGTCGCTAGGAAATTAACTTGGTTAGTAGCAGTTCTCTTCATTTTGCAAAACCATTATCACGCGGACTCATGTATGCAGTTACAGCGACAAGATAGAGAAAACCGCACAGATGTCAATCGAGTCTTAAAGGACTGTTAAGAGATTATATAGTGTTTTCTCGTCTTCCGATTTTGGGTTCTGAAGGTCTTTCAAACTTCCTTAGAGTCCGTTCTGAACAGTTCAGATTTTGAAAAGCTGCATTTTTATGTACAGTCAGACTTTATGTGCTGTGTTTTGGCCAAACTGTCTTGCCTTAGTTGGACCCACTCTCTGTCCACTTTGCATAGTTACAATGTGAACTACACTGCGTTTATCAAACATGCATTCTTCCTTGCAATAGTAATGCTATCAATGACTGAGATTTTTGTGGGATTTTTGTTAGTTACGGAGTTTGCTGTAGTTTCTCTCCCCCAGGGTTTCTTTTCGCACGGTATTATTCTCATTACCACCTTGATGTGAAGTTGTGTTCCCTGTTTCTCTTTGTGTGTTGATAGAATCGATTATTTACCGGGTTTATGTGTAGTAGATGGTGATGGTGCAGCAGATTCAAACCGGTGTGAAACGAGGTTTTTATGCTAAAATAAGCGAGTTATTAAAATTGAGGATATTCTTTATTTTCATTGGGCTGGTCCAAATTAATCGTACTTTTTCCGTTCAGGGGAGTGCTCGAGACGTTTGTTTCAATATTACTATCCCTCTACAATAATAGCCGAAGCCGAGTTCGAGCTTACGGCACTTTTTCACTCGAGTTCACCACGGAAAGTGGTGTTCGACAGGGCTGCCCTCTCTCTCTCTCCTTTTCTATTCAACTTTGTCGTAGATTTAATTCTTGAAACAGCCCTATCCTCGTGCGAGGACAGTGGCATCGATTTACTCCCAGATGGCAGGCTGTCTGATCTATTGTGCTACTAAGTGAAGATCCAGGTAAGTTGAAAGCTTTTCTGGATAAATTGAATGCCAGTGTAGCCATGTTCGGCATGCGTTTTGCACCTTCGAAGTGTAAAATTCTACTACACCCAGTCTCAGCCTAACTGGGGAAGTAATAGAATAGGTGGACAAATTTTGCTATCTGGGTAGCTATATCTCACCCGGTGGACGCGTCACAGATGAAGTGTCGGCGCGCATACAAAAGGCTCGATTGGCATTTACCAACTTGAGACATCTGTGGCGCCGTCGCGACATCCGGCTGTCTGTGAACGGTCGAGTGTATGCCGCGTCAGTTCGGCCAGTCCTGCTATGCGGTGCAGAAACTTGGCCATTAAGAAAACCGGATAAAGATAGACTGTCGATGTTTGAACACCGCTGTCTACGTAGCATTGCACGAATCTGGTAGGGGTAGCCGGATGAGCAATGCTGAGGTTAGGCGTAGAGTTTTGGGCAGTCGCGGTCGTCCACTAGTGCAAGTGATCGACCTCCATAGATTACGTTGATTGAGACATGTGTTACTTATGTCACCAGATAGGTTGCCCTGGCGAACAATGTTTGCCAAGGCCTGTAACGATTGGAAAAATATAGGGTCGTCAAACTAAGACCTGGCATGAGGGTATGAAAACCTTAACCAGGAGACTAGGTTACATAGGCCCCGTTAGGCTCCCTGGCTGGGGACCTCGGGATGATCGTAACCGATGGTTAGAGACACTGAGTGATATGGCTGGGTATCGCAACCAGTGGCGCTCGTGCATCCACTCGTTATTCTCTTAACACCACTCTATATGAATTCCCCATCTTCCCAATCTTCATTTTGCTCTTTTATCCAAATGGGCAACCAAAACCGGCGCACGAAAGTGCATGGTCAATGGTTGTAAAAACTGAAACTGAAACCTTGAATTTCACGGAGTTGTATTAGATGATGGTTTGTATCTTTATGGACACTAGTTTAGATATGCATTTACTGCCAAAAGTGCATCATGCTACGTATTTGTTGGTAGATAAGTTTTATCTATAATCCAAACATTCACTGTCTCAGGAGTCTGTCGGTTTCTAACTTGAAGGTTCGTGATTCGAGTTCTGATAGGGACACAAAAAGGACACTGCTGGCGAATCCTAAACAGGACGATCTTTGATCTTTGTTGGTCATCATAGATATTTCTATCGCACCGAAGGGTGATCGCTTAACTTTGGACTTCGTCTTTATACTTGCCTAATTAAATTGATCCGTCGGTAATAACATCTTGTCTTTGTTCTATCTAGACCGTTTGGGGTTCCTACTGGTTCAACGGACAGTGGGGCTACAAATGCTGTCATTCCCTGCTAAAGGAATCCTATTGCATGGGTGAAAAAAATAAAGCTGTAGACAATCCTGAGGTTCCAGATGATCCAACTGGCGGTGCACTGTTAAAACCGCCCCCCATGCCTTCAGAGGTGAGCAGTTCAGATGGAGAAACACGATGTGCTCGTAAAAGTCAGCGTTCTAATGATCATCACCGCAAACGGCCCCGAAGTGACTGCTCAAACGCAAGCAGTCGCTCTTCTTCCTCATCCTTCTCTTCTTGCACTTCGAGTTCATCATGTTCCAGCTCAGAAAATTCATCAAGTGACAATGAGGAGACATCAGACCAAAAGAAGGCAGTAGAATCGGCATCCACAAGTGAACCGGCATCAGAACCAAGTAAAACTGAGCAACAGCGACTTATCGAAGAGGCTAAAGCTAGTGTGTTACAAGCGCTCAAAAAGGCTCGGTCCGGTACTCATCGTAAGAAGCGATCTGTTAAGAAAACGGAACAGAAACGTTCTAAACGCGAAAATAAAGGGAAGGATGAAAAGAAACGTTTCCGCTCCTCCTCATCATCCGCATCAAATGCATCTACAGTTGACTTGGATACACTGCAGGAACAAAAAATCAAAAAGGCAATCAAACAGGAGAAAGCTCGTCTGAAACAGGTCGAAGCCTATTTGTCCATGGATGAGCGTAAACGACCGTACAACTCACTGGTTGAGACTAAAGAACCCACAGCTGAGGAAATGGAGGCTTATTATCGGACGCGTGTTAATCGTGACGATCCAATGGCACCCTTCATGTGATGATTTCGTTTTCTTTTACTTATTCTACTTTCTTGTAAATAAACCAAAGCTAAAAATTGACTCGCGTTGTTGAATGTTTTGCAGAAACTGAGCTTGATATTTTTATCTGTTTTGTGGCTTATCGACATTTTACTCCATACGAAACTGTCCCCGGATCTGCGAGAGTCGAAAGAACGGAAGTGTTNAAGTGTTTCTAAGGTGCGTCATCGTTTGCTTCTCACTGTCACAAACAAGAGCGTTCTCTTGTGACCTTATGTCGTCCATCACTTCAACCTTGGGAGCTCAAGCTATGGAGTTGCATAATTCACCAGTCAGTATTGTTGTCTGTTTGAGGTATCCTTGAGTTTTTCATCAATCCTGAGATGTGGTAGAAATGTGTCTGTGTCCAGATTTGTTTTCTCCTACTCCTGCGATTTCCGAATCTGAAGGCCGTCTCATCTGGCTCATGCATATTCAAGTGAGATGCGATTCAAACGATGTGTTGTTGAGACGGGGACAAAGCGCGGACATAGAGCGGGATGCTGCTATTGTCGGTGGTGGTGAGGCTCTTGCAGACTGTTCGGTGTTCGAACACCTCTGTCTACGCAGCATTGCAGGAATCTGGTGGGGTAACCGGAGTTTAAGGTAGCCGTGGTCGCTCACTAGAGCAGCTGGTCGACCTCTGTAGATTACGGTGGTTGGGGCGTGTTGCATATGTCACCAGATGAGTTGCCACGGGGAGCGATGTCTGCCGAGGCAGGTATCGGATGGAAAAACGTCAAGGTCGGCCAAATGAAGACCTGGCATGAGGGTATGAAAACAATAACCAGGAGACTAGGTCATATAAGTCGCGTTAGGTTAGCTGGATGGGTACCCCAGGATCATTTAAATCAATGGTTGTGACGCTGAGTGCTATGGATGGATGGATGTCGCAAACAGCTGCGTTGGTGCCAGAAAGACAGCAACCAAAACCAAGGCACGGAAGTGCATGGTTAATGTTTGTACAAACTATACTGTTAAGAGGTTGATTTGAGTGAATTCATTAGAAGAGAAATCCCGTAATCCGAGGACATTCTCTCCGCACATAGAATGAGGAACAGACCATTGAAACTAATAGCAGTTTGTTGATTCGGCGTTTAGAGAGACAGAAAATCGGTGCGGTCTATAGATTTGTACTTCATGGAAAAAATGTTTGGAAACTGTGAGTACGGTACCTAGGAACAGTCACTGTGGTGACTGTCCTAGCAGCGAGACAAAACAAGGGAGGAGGACGAGGCGAGTTCGGTGGAACACAAATCAAAGTGCTGGCGGCAGAATAAGAGAGGGGAATCAGCTCCCAGATGGCAACTTTATGATTGCTAATTGTCTGTCAGGGTCGGGTCGTTGAGACCGTGAATTGCTTTACTTTAAAGAAATAGCCGTATCCGGGACTCGACGCTACATATAATTGCAGTCTTTAAGCTTAGGATAAATATGAATTTTGGAAAAGTGGGCGATTTCTAAATAGAACTGGCTTCTGTCCCGTTTGATTAGAATACGTTCAGTAATTCTGCGTTTCGGATATTGACGCGGAAATGCGTGGACCTTTCTAAACTATTTGAACGTCTATGTACCATGTGAGAGGAGTGATCTGCTTACTCCAAATTAGGCTGGCAGTGGATTCGACGACGGAATCAACATAGGCTAAGCAAACGAAACGAAAATCTAATGAAAATAGACCATCGAGTTGAACTGACCAATCCATTTAAAGGGATGTTTCGTGATGAAAGCTCATTACTGTCAGTGAAGCAATGTTCATCAAGGTATGCCAGTCCCCTCCCCTGCTCACAAATATTATTTGTAATTTATAACAGATAATTATCGGTTGGTTTCCAAGCCTTTTGTTTTGGTGGATGCCTAACGTTGAATCCAATCAAGGAGAGACCAAATGAGAGACGAATTTTCTATTTCGCCTGTTCGCCGAGCTTGGCAATTTGTTTTCAAACGTTTCATCACCAGCCGAGGTGACATCATCAGTGCTTGTGAAGTGAAGCACTGATGATGTCACCTCGGCTGGTGATGAAACGTTTGAAAACAACTTGCCAAGCTCGGCGAACAGGCGAAATAGAATCCAGTTCACTCGAGCTACGAGAACCCATTTGCAATACTTTCTCAGACGAATTTTCATTGCGGTATTCAAATGTGAGGCGAACCTTTTATGTTAGTTGTAATTGTGAAAATAACGATTTCGGTAAGGGTGAAAATAAGCCGATCTTTCGGTTACCCCGGGTAACCTTTATCAAGGCGATTTTACAATCGAATCTGATCTTTGTAAAGAGAACGATGGTGGAAGGTCCTCTGAGGCCAAAAAAAGAGCTAGTTGGGACGCAGCGGACAGGGTAATTTCAGTGGGTTGGGTGTATCTGTCCAGTCGCACCATATATTTTCCCTCGGATTTCCTGCTTACATGCTGTTATACTAAATTGCGACTTGTACGTACCAGTTGATCGATGGACCCGAAACCGTACTGACTGATTCTAAGCAACTACCCCTGACCCAGGTGACGGTGAGTTGATCATGCACGACTGTGAGGAGTTATCATATATCGAAGTGATAAACAATTTTTTTGCAGGTTGTAAATATCCCTCATTTAGGATATACACAGGCCAAGCCACACAGAAGTGGGCCAACTCTAATGCTCCAATTCATAGGACAATAGGCTATCTCCTCGAGTCTCGATGCCCGGTGTGTATTTAGTGATGGCGTAGGGTGAAGAGGCTGTCTGCACTGATCTACGTGGGGAAGACTAAGCGAATGAGCAGTGTAGGTTAAGTATTCTCTCGGGTTGATTGCGGCTAATCGACAGCTCAGAGATATACTGGACAGGAGCATGCTGATCTACATTCAGTATACAAAATGGGGCACATGCGCCTCTAAATACGCTTAGGAAGTTAATGCATAATTGCTAATTTTTGCATGCTGCTCACTCTCACAACGACCAGAACTAAAGTAAAATAGTCTTGTGAAAGATAGAGAATTGGTTGAGTTTTCTCACTCCAGATTTCGTGCAACCTGGAGCTAAAAAGAGCGTCGAGATTTTCTTGTTTCCAATTCGGACTGACCAATCGCCATTACCTCCTTGTCGGATTCCCTCGACCCGAGAAGGTTTTCCAGAGAAGGCGAATGAACTAACCGACCGGTCACCGGCTTATCTGGAACAATACTGCTGCATTGTAGCTCGCGCTTGGTTGCGTAAAGGTTAGAGTGCATCTTCGGACAAGGCCTACTCTGGACTGGGCGACCGAGTAGTCCAACAGCCTGCAATGCAAACAATGAACTTCAGCCTAATCAATGACTCACTCTTTCAGTTTTCGCGCATGAAAAAAACGCTTCACACCGTGCACATCTTCCTTTTATCCAGCTTTTCTCCCACCTCACATTCACCCCCCTCAAACATTACCATTATTGTCAAGATCTTCAGACACTCGTACTACCAGTTGTGCCTCCGATGGAAATTCTCTCGCGTCCTGCCCCGAATAGCGTCCAAGCCTCACTGAATCTTTCTCCACCAGTTGAAGCTCTTCTTCGTCCTCGATGCCCATTCAAACTGGCCACATTTGACGTGCGTGCTTTGATGCGTATAGGACAAGAGGCCTGTTTAGCTCGTACCCTAGAGACCCTAGCCATCGCATCGATGTGTGTTGTATCCAACGGACTCGCATTCAAGACTCTAGCTCCGCTATCCGCTTGACGTCCTCGTCAAACCCATCCGCGAAGTTTCACCTGCGTCTTTCTGGGGACCCTGAGGCTGCAGCTTCTGGTCCTGCTGGCGTTGGCGTGGCTCTCAGTGAAAGNCGCGCTCCTGGATTGAATCCCAGTCGACAGTAGGTTATACGCAGTGAGACTTAGAGGCTCGTGCAAAGTAAATAGTCGTCCCTCCGAAAGACGCAACTTGTTTATCGTCTCAGTGTACGCACCCACGAACTGTAGCCCAGATACAGTCAAAGATACTTTCTACCAAAAGCTATACGACCTCTCGCGTAAGGCAAATCGGGGTGGTATCGTGATTTTAGCAGGATATATGAATGCTAGAGTAGGCCAACTGACTTCGAGTGAGGCGCATCTGGGAGGTCCTTTGGAACTAGATTCCTGTCTCTCGGAAAACGGGGAACGTTTGTTGGCTCTATGTTCTGATCACCGCCTATTCCTCGCCAGTACGAACTTCGGACGCTCCAACTGCTGATATGCCACTTGGCGTCCACTTTCCTCTAGTCAGCGACAAACGGAGATAGGCCACTGCTATAAGCCACAAATGGTGGGGCTGTATACAAAACTGCCTATCGTACTGGAGCACTCCCCTCGAATCCGACCATGCGTTAGTTTGCACCAAGCTGTCCATGTGCTTCGGTGGGCCTCCTAAACGTACGACACAACGGCGGTTAGAATGCGATAAGTTGCCTCGATCAGAATGCTTAGCCGTCTTTCAAAACGCGCTAGCTGAAAATCTAGAACCAATCCCACTGATAACATCAGTGAGCACTGGTCGCTTATCAAGAATACTGTGCATTCTGCTGGCTTAGTTAGTTTGTTGATGAATGGAGTACCAGAGAAGTATGTGTCGATCCTCAAATAGTTGTATCGCCATACCTCAGGTCAGGTTAGGGATTATGGCCAGCTTTCACCACCCTTCGCCATCACCACTGGAGTTCGACAAGGCTGCCCTATATCCNCTATATCCCCTTTCCTTTTCAACTTCGCCATAGAGGATGTTCTGCAGGACGCTTAGTCCGGTCTAGCAGACGGGGAGTCGAACTCCTCGCAGGGAACAGAGTTCTTGACTAAGTATATGCCGATGACATCGCCTTGTTAGGTGGCAATGCACAGGCAGTCGAACAAGCTTTATACCACTTGGCGATAGATATATCTAGGTGTGGTATGTGCTTGCACCATCAAAGTGCTGGTTCAAGACTGACAGGATCCTGTGCCTGCACTCACCCTCTGGTCATCAGCTGGAAATGGTCGAGAGCTTTAAGTACCTCGGG